AGTTCTGTTTCTGTTCGACCCAAACGCTGTTCTTCCGCAAACAGACTTTACGTGGCCAGGCAAAAGTTTGTTGCCTTCAATTTATCAATATGCAGCTCTCATAACGGTGTGCGATGCGTGTGTGTGAGTGTGTGTTTTTATAGCTTTTTATAGCGAACTGAACAATTCAGAATGTTCTTTACTGCTTTGGCCGGGATTGCTAATGGTTTTCATGTAGTCTGTCTACCTGCCTGCCTGCCTGCCTGACTTTCTGCTGCAATTGGTTTGGCTTGAGACGAAAAACAATGCGGAAATACTATATGGAAAATGTGTTGTATTGGCAAATTGTGGCAACTGGAAAGGCAGATATGGGCAATCATGGGCAATCGATGTTGGGTGGGTGTAACAACAAGTTGCTGCACTTGCCATTTGCCAGCTTTTCCACTAATGCCAATTAAGCGCGCATTAACATACTCTTGCGATACGAAGCACACAGCACACATGAACTTAATGACAGACTGACTGACTTACTGACTGACTGAATGGGGCGATCTGAATGTGGGTGTTAGCGCTTGAATTGTGTTAATAGCATTCGCGCCCGACTGCCTGTCTTGTGTGGGCCTACAAATGGGAAAATGTGCAAATTAAGCAGCCGTGGATGCAAAACAAGTTAAGTTCGAGTGCTAATCAAAGCAAAGCCGCGTTGCTCGGATCGAGAACATTTTTGAGTCGCGCCATCGACTGGACTACTTCAAAGGTTGCCCATTTGAGCACACCTGATATGTCATATCAGGCTCAGTCGCAAGGATTAAATGTGAAATGGCAGGCCGGCTAGTTAGTCAGTCAGCTTGATAGTCAGTCTCTTAGACATCTGCCGCTTAGCTCGGTTGCCAAAGCGGACCAGCTAACAATGAGGGCTGCTCGAAAAATAAAGTTGGTTTAAATGTATGAAACTATTTTTTGTTAGTAAGAAGAGTTTATATATGTCGGTAATTTTTTTAAATCTATTACATACAAAATTTATTATTCTTAATTTTATTTAATTCTTTATTTCATTCAATTCTTAAATTTAAATGTTGCTGCTGTCAATATTTTCTCTTTATGAACAAATTGATGTTGTATACAAAATGTTTATTTAAATCTGCAAAGTAATCAATCAGCTTATGTTTAAGGACGAGGTAGTTATTATTTACTAAAAACAATATTACAAATATCTAATATCTATTATTATAGTATATACAAAAATAATACTAGTTGCTAGAGCCATTAGGGACACTTATAATTGTAACACATTGGACATATTTCTGGTTTGTAGGGTCTGTATTTGCAAACAAAATTGTCCTCTCATGATACTCAGTAGAAGATGCTGTGACAGTGTTGTGTGTCTAATGCGAAGGCTTACAAATGTGGCTGATAAATTGCTGATGGATGTCTGTTTCAGTTTTTGGGACATAAAGAATGGTGATGTAAAGGCTACAAGCTTATTGGCTGGGTACAAGAAAAAGATTCTTGGCAATAGAGATGCTATGGCTTTCAATAAAATAATTTTTATTGCAGCTGACAGTGAAATACTTGTATACTGTCAAAATCAAAAATATCAATTTCATATTTGAAGCATACTTGTAGATTGTTTTGTTTTTCTATGTTTTGAAGCATAGATAAAGGAAAATTTGATTTGATAAAGTTTTTAATTGGTGACTAAATGGAACTACTTTGTTGTTTCTAATGTATTAAATATGTAATATAAGTATATATAATTCATATCTAATTTAAATAATTGTATTCCAGCTTATAAATAATTGTCAATCTAATTATTGCCCCAATAACACATATTAAGCTGAACAAATTTGTTTTCACTTCCTACAACATTTTTGAAATACGAGTATGTACGTGTGATGCGGCTAACCCTTGTAAAGTAAAGCCTATTTGCAACTCCCTGCCTGAAAAGTTATTTATTTCGTCTTACAAATGATCTTCATATCACCCGTCTCAAGTGCAGATAGCCGGTGGATATGTTAGATGAAACTATTAATGTCGTTACTAACTTTATTGCACTCAACCTTACATCATTATGCAAAACCATATAATTTGTTTGGCATACTTTGTTCAATTTGGGTTTTTTATGTAAGATTAAAGAGTAGAGGCGTGGCTATGTAGGCTGCTTCTTTGGTGATAAACTTCATGTGGCACCATACATATTATGTATTTTTATTTACATGTGCTACATATGTGTAATTAGGCGAAGTACTTTACAACGGAATTGCCAATCCTGACTCGTTATTCTGTAAAGTTAAATTATTCGGTGTTATTCTTCTTGTTATATATCTGTTTATTCTTTCTCATATACACTTTATTTAAAAGTATTTCACATTTTAAGAAGCCGTATCAATCCAGTTGTTCTTTAAAAAGTTTCTCCATCTTCATATTTTTATGCAAATGTTTCACGAACTTTATGGAGTTGCCCTCGTAATAGTGTGTGTGTGTGTGTGAGTGTGTGTGTTGGCGGTTTGCAGTAACCACATAGCCACCTATCAGATTGCGAGATTGCCAGAGAGCCGACAGCGCCGGCGCGTATTAGCAGCCCAGTTAGTAGGAGGGGCGCAAGTTGGAACGGATTTGCCAAAGTCGCTGCATACATATGCAGCAGAAAGTTGTGTGCTGCTTTTCTTTCTTTCTTTTCGCCAGATATTATGCGGCGATATTAATTGACAAATGAGATTTTTCCTTCCTACTCGACAGCGGCAGGCGGCAGCTGACAACCGTCAGAGGCAACTGAGAGACTCGGGAACTTTCATTTTGACCACAAGCTTTGTCAGCTCAAAACAGGCCAAGGCAAACAAAATCCATATAGATGGATGGATAGCTGGCTGGCTGGCTGACTGGCTGGCTGCATACCGAACGGGCATGCTGCTTACTGCCGACTGCTAGTCGGCCACGTTGAATGTGTGGCCAAATGATGGCTAACGTTTCTTTCTAGCCAACAACATCACGCCGCACTCTGTGTTGTCAAGTTACCTAATGCCTTTTTGCGGTATGAACTGAACTGTACAGATTAGTGTATCTTCAAATGCTGCATGCTAATCGCGCTCCTCTCGCCGCCCACCTTCCCCAAGGCATTGTTGCAAATGTCGCTGAACTATGTATTAAATGCCAAATGCAAGCCAAATACGATAGCAGCTGTTATTAATGATGACTGATGGGGAGCGAATCTCTACAGTGCATTATTCAAAATCTAAATATGAATGGGATTGACAAGTTGACTTCAAATATTTCCATGCGGTCAATTAATCAGAAATCAATCTACTTAGTTGAATGAGAGTTAAGGTTTGAGTACGGAAGGTGTACTTAAAAGAGCAGAGAAACTTATTCATTTACTTCTTTATTTCTTTAAATTCTTCGTTAAATTTAATTTTTAATTAATTTAATTCTAATTTATAGTAATTCACTTCATTCTTTTAAAAGATTTTGTTGGACATTTGTTGGGGAAATTAAATGCAATAGAATGCAATTTTGAAACTAATATGAATAAAGCTTATAATAGTGATACATTTATTTCTTGAATTCATTTACTTCTTTAATTCGTAAAATTTTTCATTTAATTTAATTTGCAATGTAATTTAATTCTTCATTTAATTCACTTCTTTTTTTAAAAGATTTTTTACGTCCCGTAATAGTAGAATAGATTACTTGGATTCAGTTAAAGTTGATTTAGATATTTCCTGCGATTTGTTCTGCTAGAAAATTTAGTCCTTCTTGGCATTCCCAAAATCACTTAAACAATATTCACAAGCTCCTCTTCAGAAAGCATAAAAAACGTAGAGCACACTAAGCGTGGAATCTGTCAACCATACAACTACTACTTTATTTAATAATATAATAATAGTAATATCGAAGAAGCTTGGTTAAATTGTTCTTAATTTGTGGGGAATATATGAGATGCAAGGACAGAGTTGGGGTAAAACTTAATTTATTAATTAAGTTTCAATAAAGTAAAGTACGTGCTACTTATAATGTCATTGGGCTTCAGGAATTCATTATAATTTTATTGTAGGATTTATAATTTAATTCTTATAAGTTATTATTTTTTATCGGAGGCTATTATTATAGACTGAAATATATGTATTAAAAATGTCGTAAGATGAAGATAAATTTAGACACTTCTGTGAATGTGCTCTAAACTTTTTATATCATCTGAAGGGTAAACACATATACTTATAGCATACAAAAAGGGGAGTAGTAGAGTCCCAAAATATAAATTGTTGATCAGGATGACAAGACAAGACGATATAGCTATGTCTGTCTATTCAAGTGGAAGAATATGCTGCTATTTTTTCCGGGTTCCTATAGCTCTCATTGACTCATCGAGTAGCAAGCTCATACCGAATTACGATTCCATCTTAATCAAGCAAATTATCATCCAAACTTATAGAAAAACTAGAAAAAATCTGTAACTCATAAATTAAAAATTGGAAAGAATGGTGCTGAAATGTTTTGAAAACTAATGGAATTGCGTAAAAAGTGCTTATACTACGTACATCTACTCTGGTTACACACTGGCCATTGATCTGACAATTGTTATAGTGGCAATGGCCTAACGGGGTGTGGCATTAATACGAGTACACACACACACACACACACTTATAAAAACAAACAGCTATCAATCGTCGTCGACGTTGCTAAGCAAGAGCACCGCTCAAGTCGTTGGGTGGCGCTGTCAATCAACGCCAACCGCAGCAGCAACAACAACAACTGAAACAACCATGTGCAGCTACATACAATAAACATTTCGTTGGCGGTCTTGGCTTACGGTTTTGGTTTGCCTTGGTTTTTGAAAGTTGTGCCTGACAATTTGCGTTGGTGGCAGGCGACATGACGCTGACGACGATGATGACGATATCAAGAACCTATAAAGCACATATAAATATTAATAAGTGCTCTGCGTGTGGCTTGTAATATGTATTTTGAACTTTCTCACTCACTCACGCACTCCCTCTCATCCGCTTTCCTTTCTTTATTTGCAGTACGGCCTGCGTCAATTGGATCTCTCATTGCTGTCACAATTGTGGGCGCTAAATGATTCGATACAGGAATTTCGAACAATGATTGAGGAGCAGGAAATGGATGAGGACGATGATGATGTGGACGATGAAGACGATGTTGATGAGCAGGGCAATAGAAGACATCATTCGCCAACGCCCTCATCCTACGACTCTGTGTCCTCCGATGGCGGAGGCGCTGAGACGGCGGAGACGGCAGAGCCGGTCAAGCGTCTGGGCACCATACCAAAAGTAATAACGACACAACCAAAACTGTCCAACGAAACGATTCCAAAACAGCAACAGCCACCACCACCACCACAGCAGCAGCAGCAGCACCAACGCCAACCAGTTGCGGTCAAGCCACAGCAACAGCAGCCTCTGGTGTCGGAGGTCAAGCCCGTGCCACGCATGCGCAGCGCGCCACCGCCACCACCTTCGGCAATTGCTACCGGTGTTATAAGTACGGCACGCAAACCGACGGCACCGCCACGACCCACATGATGTTACCTAACGGACTTCCTAGCCGGAGTCAGGATGGTCATGTGCAAGGCGATTGTGGGCGATGTGCCGTCGTCGTCGTCATCGTCGCCAGCGGGCAGCATTTGATGAGCTCAGAAGCTCGGGCGGGAAGTTTGTGTTGGAGCGTATTGGTATTTCTGAACTGTTGGGGCGCAACTGCATCGTTGGCCACATGCACCATCCGTAGTTAGTCTAGCTATTAGAATATCTATCTATCTATCAATCAATCAATCAATCAATCAGTCTAAACTCTATAATAACGATCTTTTCAATAGCGATCGCGATCCGAGCCGCAGCTTCAGCTTCAGAGTTAAGAACAAGTTGTAGTCTTAAGTTTAGCAGTCCTTTGTGTGATCTTCAGTTTGTAAGTTTTGTAAATTGTTTTTTGGGCGAGCGTTTTTGTAAGCGCTGCCTAAGGGGTTCAGGCATAACGGGTCTTAGGTTAGACGCTTCAGTTTCAGGTACTGCGTCTACTGCTCTATATAAATTTATTGTATAAGCTGGTGTGCTCAGTAGTAGTTAGGCTGAGCATTCGCTCATTTTATTTTATTTTATTTGACATTATTTGTTTAACCCGTGTTTGCGTTATTTTAGCCACGTATTTATATGTTCTTTGATGGCAATACCTATATAATATCTGCATAAATACATACAATCGTACATTTTAACCACAACTGCTGCAGCAGTTCTTTCTCAAACTATAAACATACTATTGTCGCTAGAGCTAAGCCACCAGCTGCTATGACTTGCAATCAATCCTGTACATAGCATTTGCACTATAATTCTATACTAAGCTTGCTGCAACTTTAATATATACGAGAAACAAATAAACACACTTAAACGAAATTGACAAATCATGTGGTTTCAATGGGAAGTTATAAATTAAGTATTTTGCAAGGTAAGTACGTACCTACAGCTTCAAGTGTTGTCGATTTCAATGATAAGTTGAGAGAGTAAACTTAAAAAATTGAAAAAAGAGTCAATGAACTAGCCTAACAGCTGTGGGTATGTGGTATCTACAACTATTCAATTCTATTAGATAATAACATACTTATCATCTGATCAGATTTGATCTGAACTCGAAAAACCACACATTTATGTATTTTTATACAAGTCCTTTAAACTACGAGTGAAACAGTCATTCTATCGGTACAAAGCAATGACTTTTGCTTCATTATTGAATCGAATTAAGTTGTACCTGAAGTTTAGAGAAATTTTGAATAAACAAGCTTTCAGAAAATAGTTCAGGACCGTCATCGATAGCAGCTCGATATATCCAGACACACAACATTCACAACTTTTCTCAAGCGTTCAACCAATAGAGCTTATAGCTTTAAACAGTATAGAAATCGTTTTAACATTTGAAACTCTATTTCAATAAAACTTTTCTTTATAGTTATCTCTCCGACCACTTACGACTGTAAATCGGCGCATAGCTTGCCGCGCTGGCAATCAAATCTCTCTCTTGGCTTAAGATTCTCCTTTCACTCTTTTTGCTCCTAAAGTATTCAAATTATCTCTGAATTAAAATTACGTTTTCTTCTCTGTTTACTATTTTCCTTTTTAGTTTGTTAGATCTATTAAAGCCTTTGCCGTATCGGAGGCATTAATAGACATTTCTGTACATTTATTTTTAAGGCCATTATTATTATAGCGGAAAATTGCATTCATTGTTAGAATAACATTTTGAGTTATTTTTTCCTTTTTCTTGGTTTTTGTTGTTTTCTTATTACTTTCTTCAGCAGTCGATATTTTAAACTGTTTTCCTCATTTTATGGACTGATTTTCTTATTATTTTCGAATTAGGAAATTGGGAAACCGTGTTAATGTCTGCTTTGGGTATTACTTTATTCAGTTGCCGATTCTTACATCAATTCAACGCCGCTTGTGCTTAATTTAACGCAAGGAAATTCGTAAGCGAATATTTGATTCGTATCGAAGCTTGTGTAGAAGGTGGAGCAGATCTGGACGCCTGTCAGCCCAACAACCTTCACGTCGTGCACCTTGACGCACATGGCCAGGGGCGTGGGATCGAGCATGGGCATGCAGTAGGTGGGCGGATTTTTGGCGCTGATGCTGAACTGGGAAACTTGGTTGCCATCGAGGGTGATGGTGACATCAACAGAGACGCTCAATATCGATAGCTTGAAAGTCATGCAAACTACAAAATAGTGCAATAGTTCCTCAACCATTTAATTGGTTCACTTATTAGGTAATTCCATTAAATAATACGTACGCCTCCTGGTTATGTTCATGATATTAACCACCACGCTCTGGCAACAGGTGCAGGACATGGATAGAAGGGCGCAGGTGCATTGCTCCTTCTCAGCCGGAAAAGTAATAATGCCAAAATCGGTGCCATTAGAAGCTGCGTGTATCGTTGGCATGCTATTCAGGCAGAGTAGAGCCCCGAGAATAAAAACCAAATACTGCCAGGTAGACATTTCAAGTAAGGTTACTGGAGATACGAAGCTCCTGAGTTGTAGGTGGAAACCGCAAAACTGATGAATCGAGTGGCAGTGTAGGTACATTTTGTTAACGGAATTTGCACATTAGTTGTGTGATTAAATGCTAATGATTTCATTTAATTTTCTTTTTTGGCAATTTAATCTAATTTCTGTGGCGGTTCATTAATTTTAAGCCATCCGGGTGGGAGTGAAGAAAATAGTTTGACGCCATCTGTTGGTCAGTATTAAAAGTTGGCAACGAATCAAAAAGCTCGTTTTGTTGAGTTTATGCTGCACAGTTGTTTGGCTTTTGAACAATTTTAAAAATATTGCTGTTAAATTGTTATGATTATTCAGAATATTAAGATATAATTGCCTCAAAGAAGATATAGAAGATACATAATATAACACCTGTTGTGGTCTGAAATTAATAGCAGGTATTTATTTTTGAAAAAATTACCATATGTACTTATATGCAAGTTTTGAGCAGTTATAGGTAATTAGACAACGCTGTGGTGTGTGAAGTAAAAGCTTTTAGGAAGCTGAAATTAATTGCAAGGAACAATGATGACAGCCGTGTCGATCAATAGCAGGCAAGACGTTCCATTTTTCGAATGGAAATTTTGAATTAAGATTGCAAAAAGCCTGAATATCAAGTGTAAAGCCCTCGCAAAACAATAAAGCTGACTCTTGAGACCATTGTAAGCAATGTAAGCCATTATATTAAAACCGTTGCACTCCCCATCTTTTCAGCGATTAAGCTGCGATCCTAAAAGTATGCACAACAAAATATATGTAAACATTAATAAAATGTATTCCATTGCAACTTTTTGATGGAAGAATAAAACTAACAAAAAATGCCTATGAATGGAAAATAATATTTTTTCATGAATGGAAAATAGTATTTTTTTCATTCATCAATAGTCATTCACGTAAGAAAAAAAAAACAATGCTAATGTGTAATTGTTAAGAAATAATTTACTTGCCTAACTTGTTTTTTTGAAGATCTCTGCTAAAATGATTTCAATATGAAAAATTGTTTTATAGAATGATAAGAGATTTAAATAAATATTTAAATTGAATTACATATGTTTGAAAAAATTCCCTCAACTATGTCAATTCATACTTGTTGGTGCACAGGAGCGACCATAGTTTTTGCTAATTTATGAAAGCCAAAAAAAGTAAATGCGCTTGCTTAAATGACGTTCAGAGCATTTGGACCAGTTTTTCGCAAAAATCGTGCTATTAAGTGATGCGCGCCTTACTCCTATGGTTCAGTTTTGCTTGTAAACTTCAGTTGGCATCATCAACATGACGACTGCTGCAAAATTGGTAAGTTTCCTAAAGGCTTTGGTCAAGGCAACGAAGGATCTCTGGCAAATTGCAGCCAAATTAAGCTATGAGTATTTTTACTTACATAACTTGGAAATTATTTTATTGAAAATGTTGCTGCCAATATGTAATAATTAATTACAATTATGTACAGTTGCTCTTGACTACCGTAGTCGCTGCTTTAGCAGCCAGCACCTCGGCTGGCTTCTTGGACTCCATAGTCCCCACCCTTGTTTCGGAGTTCTATAACCAGGCACCGACCAAGGATGGCTACAGTTTTGAGTAAGAATTAAAGTTTTAAACAAATTTTATTAATATAATTTTGGTAGAATTACATTATTAAATTTGATATTTGCAGACAGAGCGAGCCAAATGGCAGCAAACGTGAGGAGAAAGGTCTGATTATGAATCCAGGTACCCCGGATGAACAGCTGGTCGTTATGGGCATGTAGTCCAGCTACGATGTGAAAACGGATATTGAGTCCATGACCGTATACACAGCCGATAAGGATGGTTACCGTTCTCGCTATGAAATAAAGAACCGTAAACTACCCGCTAGTGTCCTGAAATCCACTACTGGGTAAACATTCATGGAATGCACTTAAATCTAGTCAACATTTCAAAATAAAAGTCGTAGTTTAACAAATCGATGTGGTTTGAACGTATATTAGCATGTTTCAGATTATGTCATGCTTAGTGCGTTTGCTCCTAAGATCAAGTTGAGATGATCTATTATCACCAAATGGCAACAAAACTAGTCGTTCTGCTCATTACGTAAAAGTGTTTGGCCTTTCAAAACTGTTAGCGACTTCATATTTGATGAAAATTAAAACCAATTATTAAATGACCAAATTTGCTTAAAACGAGTTTCGACCCACTGTGGTAGCTCAAATATATTGATTGGCAATGTAATTTCTCTAGGCTTCCGCACGTTACTCTACTATTTATTTCAGCAGCCATCTGCATTAATTAATTGGCGCCATCCATCTCATTGAAATTTGAGCCTAAAAGTATGCTCAACAAAATAAAGAGAAACAAAAATAAAATGCATTGTAATGCATAATTTGTAGATGGAAGCGTGCAGATAAATTTAATTTCATTCATAAAAACATCTGCAAAATGCTTAATGGAAAGAAAAAAATGTCGATGAATCATGGGAAATTACTATTTTTCATTTAGAAGGCATGTTTAAGAAAGTATTTGGGATTTTCACAGTTCCCGTACCAGACCAAATAGTCATTAAAAAATTCCTCAAAGATTTCATGAACAGGGCCTTTTTTTTTTGATAAAACTTTAATTTTACTGTTATTATTTACAACAACTTAAATTAAACTTATAGAAATATACAAATACAGCTTAAACTAGGAGTTTAGTCTTATTTAATTATTTATTTCATTTAATTATTAATTATTTATTCTCATATTAAATAAATCTATTGGGAAGATCAGCAGGGTGTGATCTCTTCAGCCTCCTTCTTACTACTCTTCTTCCTTTTCGTCGCCGTTTCAGCAGGCGCCTTGCTAATACGTTCACATGGGTTCGCAGACGCTCCATGTATTGCGCAGCCTGCTTATTTAGCACGTCTCCAACTTTTTGCACCCCTAGATCCCTTTCTATAGTATGTGTGCCGTTTTCATGTACCAGGGGGCACCTGTTAATGAACAGGGACAGATTGCGAAGGTCATCTTCAATAGATACGCCCACACAACAAGTTTATTAAATTATGATTATATGTCCAAGAAACACACGCATCTGCTAAAAGTACAAAACTGCACAAATAAAATAAACCATGATTTCTAATAAATAATGGTGACAACAAATTAAGCAAACCAGTTGGGTAGCTTGACTTTTTTTTTTTTTTAAAATAGAAACAAACACTTTTGGCGAATAGCTGCGTATGTTAGGCGATATGCCTGAACTGTTTCGGGGCATTAAGAAATGATTTACTAGCCTTACTTGTTTCTCTAAGATCAAGGCCAACATGATTTCAATACGTAAAGACGTGTAGCAGCATTACATTTTGCGGGGAACTCCCTTGACCTATGCCACAGTTCAAGCAAGTTGGTGGACAGGAGCGATCATACGAGCATAAATAGTTTCTGTTATTTTGTGTAAGCTTCCTCCAAAAATAAAGTTTATGCGCATGCGCAAAACACACTTAAAGCACCTGGGACCGGTTTTAGTTAATAGTAGCAACTTAATAAAAGATTGAAGCGTTCCCACTGACGATCATGCTCATCAATAGTTGGAGAGCTTGGCGGTGTTGCCGTGTGATTCTTTGCAGATCTTTAGCTTCGCCAAAGTCTTGCTGCTAGATGCTGCGCACCTTATGTTTCAGTCTCGCTTGTGAACTTCAGCTGGCATCATCAACATGACGACTGCCGCAAAATTGGTAAGGCCTTGGTCAAGGCAAGGGTGGAGATCTGGCGTGTGGCTGCACATCAAATTAAAATAAAATGGCAAATTGTGAACAATTATGGAGACTGGCAGCTGCCGACTTGAATATTACGAGTATAGTAATTAAAATATCGACAGCTCTTTGGAATGCAGCTGCAGCTATACGAGTAGTTGCGGGTTGGATCAAAGCCATAGAAGTGTGTTTATTTACACAACTTGGAGCTAATTTTTTGATTACAACTGCTAGTCGCAATAATATATAATCAATTCGACAAAGTATAGTAAGTGTACACATTTAAATATTTACAGTTGCTTTTGACTACCGTAGTCGCTGCTTTGGCAGCCACCACCTCGGCTGGCTTCTTAGACTACATTTTCCCCACCCTGATGACGGAGTTCTATAACCAGGCACCCACCAAGGATGGCTATAGTTTTGAGTAAGCATCAGAGCTGGAAGCAAAGCTTTGGTAGAGGGTTATAATTAAATTTGATATTTGCAGACAGAGCGAGCCAAATGGCAGCAAACGTGAGGAGAAGGGTGTGATCATGAATCCGGGCACCCCGGACGAACAGCTGGTCGTTATGGGCATGTACTCGAGCTACGATGAGAAAACAGATACGGAGACCATGACCGTCTATACAGCCGATAAGGATGGTTACCGATCTCGCTATCAAATCAAGAACCGTAAACTGAGCCCCGGCTCCCTGAAATCCGCTGCTGGTTAAACAGTGAAGGAATGCATTTTCTGAATATCTGGTCAACATTTGAAAATAAAAGTGATAGTTAAAAAACACATTTTTAAAATTATGTTAATAGCTTGAAACTGGTTTCAATGTAGTACAAAATTCTATCGGCAAATACCAGCTGGAGACATGTTTAGTGGGTTTCCTCCTAAGATCAAGTTGAGATGTTTCATTACCGAGAAAACTAGTCGTTCTCGATATACGACTTTTTCATTGCGTAATAGTGTTTTGGCCTTTCAAAATTGTTAGTCGTTTCATATTCGATGAAATAAAAACAATTTTTATTTATTTTTATGACCGCCTTTTCAAATGTATCTAAAACCATATTTGTGCAAAACTTGTTTCAACGCAGTGTGGTAATTGAAATAAAGTTAATAGCAAAGCCATTTCTTTAATAACATGAATACGGATGGAGGCTCTGTGGTCAACAATTTGTACCTTCAGTATTTCGTCCATTCAATATCGTTAAATAGTTAGTGCGTTGTTCTTATAATTGTTTACGATTTATACAGTAGCATTAAATAAAACTTATATTTTGATGGTTGTTTTTTCTAACGCAACCAAAACAAAATCTGTTCAGGTTGGTAGCTCATACTAGTTTTGAGTAGCTCTTAAAAGACCGAGCGATAATAAATGGATACCTCGTCTTTAGCTCGTTTGTTCATTTGTGTTTTTAGCAAGTGGTTTATAGTTACTTTTTATTATTTATTTAGTCAGCAAACAAAGTGGCTGTCGACATTATAACTCCAATTTAAAAAAAAAATAGCAAATCATAAAAAAGAATCATTACAATAATATCCAATACCTTCGTCGAAACAGTGAGGCCTGCTTTTCCGCAATGGTCAGAGACGTTAGCAGACCTAACTTTTAATGTTATCTTTATTTAGGATTGACAAATATGTGCTGTCGTTATATAGGAAATGAAACTATACAAACTTTATAGTAACACCTTAAATCTAAGCAATTTGCGACTAATAGTTATGTCAGCAATTCACCGCCAAATTTGTTAGGAGACCTTTACAGATATTGAACATTAAAAGTCATAGCGTAAGGAAAAGTAAGAGGATAGATTAATCCTAATAAATAGCTAAATCTACATACCAGAGGAGGATAATTTGATAGCCAGTCTGCCAGAGTAGGTGAGAAAGTCATTATAATTCTTATACACAACAACAACATGTCACCGATTGTGGATTGCATAGTCAGTTGTGCTTCTAGACAAGATGTAAATTGAAACTAATTCTTAGTTGATAAAAAACGCAAAGGTTAAGACGACGTAAGAGAGAATGTACAGTAATCTAGCACAGACCATACAAACAATATGTTAGGTACCTTAATTGATTAAAAAATAAGAGTAGCTGAGATTTAAAGATTGAAGTTGAATTCGGAATCAAAAAGTACCTTTAACTAATGTCCTAAACATATAATAAGAGCAATTAACGCAATTAACATCATCACAAGCCTGATCACTGCCTCTAAACTTCCTTCAAAATCTAATCAATTTCAATATTTTTGAATCAGAGAGAATCCTACTTTACTTTAAAGTTAGTGACATTCTTTCCAACTAACATCTAGCCGAGCTAAATTAAATTATGTCGTTACGAGCGCGCCCAAGAAAAAGGTACTAAATGAATTTTAATTGAATTTAAATTAAATGCCGAGTATTTCCCATTAATTGCAAACCTGAAAATGTTGAAGCTATAGGCATGATTGCAGTTTGTTTGCCTCAATATATACGTATAAACTTGATGTTTCATTGGATCTTCAATTAACACATTTCTAGGACATATCTCTGCTAAATATAACCACTCTAAGACGGTTAGTTTTTTGTAACACTTGGAAGTAATTAGTTAACAAAATGGTAGGTGCTAATGTTATTCTTTATTATTACTAGAAGAATCTTAAAATAATAATACTAGACCTTCAAATTGTCTTTAACTTCAACTTGAATGTCACTTATTTTGTTTTTGTGTATCCGAATCAAAACTCAACATAAAAACAACATGGATATTAAAAACAAATTAGTTTGCAATCTCTGTTCAAATTAAGGAATTTAAAGAGCGTATACATTTAAATAATATCTAAATAACACATATGTATAAGCAATTATATAATTTAAGATTTGTGGATAGTTAATATATTATTTTTTAATAGTTGCTAACTATTAATCATTTAAGCAGCGGCTAGATGGCCGAGCACAACTTTCATAAAGTATTTCAGCATTAGTTTGAAGAACAGCTGGGTGTGTACGAAGCATAAATACTATACTACATATACATAGTATATCTGTCTATATGCATTTGAATATTGCTTTTTCAAGTGCATGCATCTTGCATGTATGTGGCATGTAATTTAAGGCCGTTTGGTTTTTTTTGGTCATGAAGTGGCGAGTGCAACGTTCAAGAGTAAACAAAATTTGAGCGATGCTTTGATGCTTCTAGCGTATTTGCATATGACGGCTTAGCATCAATATTATTAATTCTTAGTCACGTTAATTAAGCCAACTTTATAAGATGCTCATTTCGACTTAAGCACGAATTTAAATGGCTTGGAATCAGTGAAGATAATGGGGCTCTTAGCAAAAGAAACATGTCTTAGACTGGCCAAGTAGCCAGTTTTGGTTAAAAAGTGGCCACAACTCGTCTAGAGCCCTAGGGTCCCCTATTGACTCTAACAAATAAAATCCAACTTTAACTAACCCGCTGAAATATGTGTTTAAATAGCAAGCCTCCTCGTTTAATTGTGATAAATGATCACAATAATGACCAAATAAATTTATAATTGCTTGATGCATGGGTTTTTTGTTCTTCTCTGGGCTTTTATGTTTTATTCGCCATGAAAGGCGGAACACAAGCAATTATTATTAAAAACTGATTATTTGCCGCCAGTTCTTGTGTTAACATTTAACATGCGTTTTATAGCAGTGTGCTATTGACTGGCAGCAGCTGTTAGAGCTTTATGTTAAGTTAACAGGGAGCTTACAGCTGTTACAAACTTGTTGCAGTTCTTCGATATTCTGCTGTAAAGAGAAATACAAGTATGTGGGCTTTGATGTATTTTGTATTTATTTGATTGTTTCAAAGACTTGACAACAATGAGGAACAAAGCCGCCTGTAATGCTAACGGCATTTTGTGTAGAATACGTGCAACAAAGGTGTCACATACACATACACATATACATACTCGTATACTGACAACATAACAAGCTTTGTTCATTGTTTATTAGAAGCAAGTTTGTTGCCGGGCTTTTGTGTTTATAGTTTGATTGTTGCCACAGGTAACTGACCAGCCAAAACAGAGAGCGGGCTAAACAAACAACCACAACAACAATAATATTGAGAGGCACTCAGCCCAACCACCGTGGCAAGCCGCTAAGTTTGGATTAGAATATAATGCGGACAGTTCTCGAGCGACTCTGAACGATGCGAGTTATGTGACGGCAGTCCTAAATGAAAATTGAAAATTCACGGTTAATATTGTTGTGAGTGTAATTTAGTAATATAGAAGTGCCAGTGCCTTATTGTTCGAGTGCGGCAAGAATTTCCAAATTATTTTTGGTCAACAATCATGCCAAAGTTTTGTGTAACTATTTGCTATAGTGTCGTAGTGACGTCAGTGAAAAGTTTTTAAAAAAATATTCGGCGGAAAATGAAAGCCAAAAAACTAGCAGTGGCATTTTTATTGTTTTTGGCCATTTCACAAAAGTGCACAGAAAGCATCGCTGAGCAGCTTGGACTGCCGCTCATACAAATAAGTCACGGTAAGTTGGGCAGCAGTTGTCGCCCTAAAATTAGATATCGGGTGAAATGAAATGTTGACGCATATACGAGTATAGTATTTTCATTTACTAGCTACATTGTCCGCTAGATTGTTGTGGTCAGAAGGCAGCCTGAGACCTCGTGGACACCAATGGTGTTGCTGTCACAGCCACTTTGACCTTTGGCGTCATGCGTCAGTACGCACGTGATTTTTTTGGGGGGATTATGTAAAAAAGATTTTGGCGAAAATCAAAAAAAAAAAAAGAAAAAAAGCCAGAGTAGTCGTAATGAGTTGTAATAGCGGTGGCAACAAATTTAGGACAATCAATAGAAAGTAATTGTGTAAGGTGAGCAAATCAGCACAGGTGCCCAACTACACCTTAGGGCTAATTGTGTTTCAGGCACGCACACAATTGGTCAAGCGACAACTATATACATGCTTTCATATTTGGGCCAATCAATAACACTTTGACAGTCTAGCAGGGATGTAGGAAAGAGTGTAATTAATTCTCACCCATCATAATCATCGTCATCATAATCATCATCAGGAATAGAGGTGCGAGGGTGAATGATTAACAGTTAAAGGCGGATGGATGATAAGCCAGCGAGCATAATTTTCCAGCTGCAAGTTGCAGCGACAGACTAATATAGGAAGTTCCTATTACGGCAATTGATCAAACAAACTCAAATGTATATAAAAAACGGGCATAAACATAATGTAAGCAAATAAATTCAACTGTCTGGGCTCCTTGCAAGGGCCGTTGGTAACGTTGGTTGCTTGATTGGGTTGTTGGTTGGTTGGTTGGTTGGCCTGTAGGCAAGTAACCACAATTCATGATTTGTCGATAAAGTGGGAAAATTGAGTAAATCGCTTGGTGCTCTATGCCAGACAGGACCTTGCCAAAGTAGAGAGCTTGAACTGATTTATTATGCACAACACATTGTGTTTAAGTTACATGGAAGTGGAAGCCAAGTGTGTCTATAAAGTTTTTTTGCGCCAACATTTAATTGCTATAGTAACGAAGCAATAGGTTCAAGAAACTCCCAAATAACAAGCGTCAGCGTCAGACAAAAACTTTAGAAAAGTTGCTTAACCTACTCCCAAGCTATATACCCTAAATTATCAAATGATCTCCTCTAATAATAGGCTCGCTTTTGGTTGAAAAGGCAGAAACGTTGCATTCTTTAATTTGTATTAACATTTCATTTTGAATACGCCTTGCAGATGAAGATTTGGATAATGATTATCCCGATACCAAAGATGAAATACATTTGGAGGATTTCTTCTGGACCGGTTCGGGAGATGGACCACCAGACTACCTAAAAAAAGTGCACACTGGCATAAGCAAGGGCAAGGATGTGATAGTTAAGACCGAAACGGTGGTGGCCACAGTCTATGTGGATGGCAATAATGTAAGCTCTATTTGATTTGACATATTAGGCATATTTTGAGCTTATTGTTGGTTCCACAGGAAGTCGATATACCTATTTGTTTGGACTGCAAGCCTGACGATGGCGGCGGCAGTTGGGATTTTGCCGGAGCTGGCATGCCTCCTTTGAATTATTCGGCAACAGATCGACGATATTGGCTACTCACCGTCATGTCTGGCTTCTATTCGGCAAAGGACAACCCCATGCTAGAGGACAAGTTGGCTCGCCTATATCGCATGGCTTTTACCAGGTAGGTGGGGGCAATTGGGGTTTCTTCCATGCTAGTTAGTACTAGCTACTAACGTTTCGTTTCGTTTTGTTTGGCAGACAACAAACCCGACATCTGGGCATAAATGGGGCACAGCAAATAGCGGGCGTAGCTGTTACAGCGCCCCGTGAGCGTCGGCAGCCGCAACATGCAACAAGCAGCACGCCAACAATAACAACAATGGAAAGTAGTGCCCCACCCCTACCTGCGGACGATGTGGAGCTACTTGATATGAATGCCGATGGCACGCATTTTATTAAAACCGCTATTGGGAGCGGAAGGGGAAAAAGCGAGTGGTCGAGTTCTTCGGAGGAATCAGCTGAGGTGTCTGCTTCGAGCACTACAGTGGAGCCGAGCTCAGCTACAATAACAACAACTCCTGCTCAAGCAACCACTGAGCCAACTGAATATGGTGGATATGTTACTCTGATCCCCTGGGAGTTAATACAACAGAATGGAAAGTCGGAAAAGTTGGAGGAAATGCGCGAGGCGATATTGAGTCAACAAGCACTGGATCAACAACGGCAGGAAGTAGAACCCCCCATACGGGCTGCGCTGCCCGTTCTGCGACCATTGCACCCACTTTTTCGGGAGGAACGGGTGCGAGTCGTCATACACAATATCACGCAAATCAGCGAGGCGGATGTCCATAAGTGGAACACAAGTGGCGGTTATGGCATCGATGACGAATACGTAAACCTTAAATTGTAGGTCACGAGTTAGAGTTTCTGTTTGCCCCTCTTATTCAACATTATTTTTTCTATTATGTTATATAGCAATGAACGACCCATAGCCAATCAAACTGAACTCATTTATACAGTTCTTGTGGATGGACGTCCTGTGTTGGCTACGACAGCAGCAAAGGATATGGAGCTGGTGAGCGAGGCAGAGGCAGTTAAAGCAATGGGCCAGACGGTCTACATGAAATCGGAACGTAAGCGGTTTTAATTCTCAATTATCAATCCAAGTGTTAACTTATCTAACTTATTTTCACAGCCTATATTAGGGAGCCCACGGCTACGGCCTTAGCTCCTGTGCCTCGCAGTGGACAGGCGGGTTTCTTCAACTCAGTGAGGAATAATGTTGCTCTGGTTGTTATCAGTTCCCTGGCAATATTATTGCTATTGCTTCTACTGGTTACGGTTCTGTTGCTTGGGCGAACGCGAGCACGTCAAAAGGAACTGAGCACTGAGAACAGGTAGCTAGCATAGTCTCTCCCAAATTGATTGGGGAAGATAACTAATTCTTACTGTTTGCAGAGATTCTTCACGCAACGAGCTGCTGTCGGAGAACCAGTCCGTTCGTCCAAGCTCTCGCGGCACAGTTCTTGACAGCACTGGACAGACGACTGCACGTTCCCGCGACGTCGGCGTTCAAAACTATGCATACGAGCGTGAACACGAAGCACGCATCCACTTTCCTCCTGCGCCTCACGACGCACGCTCACGACGCGACTCGATTTCGTCGACAGACAATACATCTGACTCCTCAGTGTACTGTCCCATTAATCCACCTAGCTCCGACGTGCAGCGTATTTTGGATGAAAAAGCGGCGAGATTGTTTGATGGACACAAGCGACGTCATCATCAGTACGATCGTGCCGAGGGTCGTGAAGATACCATCTACACATCTGTCGTATCAGAGAAGAAGAGTGAAAAATCACGCCATAAATCTAAGCGTCGTTACCTAAACGAGAACCGTGTAGGTTCACTTGAAACCAGCCCCGTACAGCTGTCCAATGCATCCTCCGCGGATGAGGGAAATTCGCCGCATGCACTGCGACGCAGCTACGAGAACTTTCAGCGCAATGAGGCGTTTAATCCGCACAACAATTATCATCGCAACAAAATTCTACAGCAACAGCAGACTTTGTACGGAGATAAGGAGATTGCGTTGGACTCCACACAAGCCATAAATAAGGAGATCATAAAAGTACTACAACCCTCAGAGAAGAGTTCCGACACGGCTAGCGTTGGCTCGTTCCTTTCGATGGCCTCGGTACGCGCCTTCCCGAAGAGTGCGCTGCCAGAGCCGCTGAATCGCGTGCTGGATCCGGTGTTTGTCACCTACTACGACAATGTGGATGATGTGGCGCCGGCAGCTATTCCGCACGGTTCGTCCAAATCGCTGAAATCGCACAAATCGCACGGCAGCAGAGGTAGCGGAACCATTGCTACAATTGCCAGCTTTCCCAGTCCAAAAGCACCGCCCATGAAAGGAGTACGAGCGGCCTCGCACAGCGACAATCCCGATCCTGGCGTTGTGGGTCCTATCGTCTGGGAGCGGCACAAGAAACGCATGAACAGTGCAGGCGAGCAGGCGCAGTCTAAGGGTGAGACGGGTGGAGAAGATATTGATGATGGAGATGATGATGGTGATGTGCAAGTTGGGGCACTTCAAGGGCAACGGGTGGAACGGGAACGTTATTAAGACATCACTGTAGTCGTTGGTATACTTGTTGAAATGCACAAACTGTAACAGTAACAACTGTAGCTGCAACTGTACAATTATGAAATTCTTTAACTAAGGTCAACAAATCCGCAAGAAAAACTAACCCACTACCATGCAGCTACTTTTTGAACACAACTGAACTTCCCAAAAACAATCTTCCGCAGACGCCATGAGCATGCGCTATGCAGACTATAGTCCCATGCATGATCCTTCGGCCATACGCAACCACTACGAGGGACTGCTCGAGGGTGCCATGCAAATGTATGCCAGCCAAGATGATCTGCCGATGCCACTGCCCACGCGTGACTTCACCAACAGCCGACGTGCCACGAAGCGCGAACATCGGGGCTCCTCAGCGGGCTTGCCCAGGTAAGGCACAATAATCCGGAAAATACATCTAATCCTATTAATTTATTTAAGTTAGAATGGGGCCACTCATCAATCATTAATAGATCAGCCTTTTTAGTCCTCGGTATTCGATTGATTTAATAAATTCTCGAGCTGGGCTGTCATCTATTGATAATTTAAAGTGGAACTTCAGTAACTATCTATGTCCCACAGCTGATAGGCACAATCTCTTTGCAGTTTCCCGTCTAAGGCCTACAGCACCACGGACCGTCCGGCTACAGCACAGCCGGAGAAAACTCCGAAATCAGCGCAATCCACGCAGCCACCGTCGCCCACATACAGTGCCTGGGGCGGCAGAAGCACCCATGGCTCAGAGTCGCCGCCATTGCGACCATGTAGTGCCGACACTTTCAATCGACCCGAAACAATCCTGGAGTTTGCAACGGCAACAACTCTGACTACAAGATCCAACACGCCAGGTCGTAGACGCGATCCGAAGGCGTCAGCAGCACCACTCATCGAGGCCATACAGAGTGAGCTGCGGAGATATAAGCAGGACCAAAAGTAATGGGAGTTACCATTAACCGTATAAACATTCTTCAATTATGTAACACAGTTTTTCATTCCATGTAGAATAAAGATTTTGCATAACCGAGTGAGCTGTATGTAGTTTTGAGAATATGGGGACAAATTATTGTTATCATACAAATTTTAGAGATGACTACAAATGCCCAATGGTCCTTGCATCATCAGAGTCTGCAACAGCGTGCACTCGATCGCTTCTGTGCTGGCCGGACACTCGAAGCGGCCGATCTCTATGAAGAGCTAGTCCGGGAGCTGGAGCAAACGGGTGCAGGGCGCAAACAGCAGGACTCCGGCTACGAGGAATGTCGGGAACGGGCTCTGCAACTGAGATTCAACATAATAGCCACCATAAAGACAGCGCGAATTCAGCTCTGCCAGGTAACCGCGGAGGGTCAAGTGAATCGCACGTATGCGGACATTTTCGGGCGTTGTATGGATGCCACGACTAGGGAGCTAATGTTGCAGGAACCTTTGCTGCAAACGAATCTGGAGCTGGAACATCTGCTCGAGTTTCTTGAGCTTGTGCTCGAAAACTGCACTTCCCTTTCATATATAACATTGCTAACACATGAGGCGTTGGAAAACGAAGCGCGCAAAGCGCAAGCAAAGGTATTTGAGAATCTTACCGAGGATCTAATGAATCGTAACATTCAGCTGCGTGTGACATACTTGCAACGCCAGCTGGACCCACGTCTGTTGTTCAGCAATGGGCATCTGGTGGTCAGCAAACTGGGTCTGCACTACTTTAAGGATGAGAATGTTAAGCGGGGCGAAGTGGGAAGCTTCAGCTACGAGTTCCGTGCCTGCAAAGCCAATGAGGTGCAGTACTTCATGTGCGACCCGAAGCAGGCCAAGCCCCTCTAATACTCGTAGCGAGTCGATGTGGATGGAATAAAATCAAATTCCTTTGCAACTTCATGCAGCTGTAGTTTATTTGGTTTTCTTTATCTTCCTGTGCATATTAAATGTGCTTTTAACTTTGAGCATCACAAATAAGTATGTAACAATATTATTTACACATAAGTATTTAGGCATTTCCTTTAATTGAATAGAGCGTAAGTTCAAGTGTAAAATTGTGTGTGTGAATATTTTCAAAGACTTTCATTGAACCGAACATTGAACATTACACTTCAATGAAAGCCCCCACCAGCCCATTGAGGCGCCAGTTCTTAGTGGCACCTTGTTTTTGTTTTTTTTTTTCTTCATGAAATTTCGATTATACATATTTGTTATATAGCCGTTAAAAATGTTCCATAAATAGCTGATCTCTCTGTAGCACTTCCGAAATGTAAATAAGGTGCAAAAAACGGATTGGTTTTACCTACAAGTACAAGTGCCTCGATACCTTACTGCGTGCATTATCTCTAAACATATTTCTGATCATAGTCCATGTGCATGATTTTCGGGGGTCCAGTGTGGATGCGAGAGTGTGTAGGAAATTTTTGGGGCATCTAGTACAGTTCCTTTTGTCCTTTGGCCGCTTCCTGATACTCATGGGCGTCGACGCTACGCTTGCCCAGACGTGGTCCGAACCACAAGCCCGACGATGCGCTCGGTCCGGTGCGCTTATCCAGCGCCTGCTGTAGGGCCATTAAATGCGCCCATTTACGCAATTCGGCATCGCCACGTCCCACACGCGGGAAAGCAATTAGACTAGCGCGCTTGAATTCATTCTTCGGGTATTCTGGAAATCAATTAGAGGCAATGTGTTGCGGAAATGTGTGTGTTAAGCCATTTGTATTACCTTCGTAGTCCTCCAGGGAGGCAACGCCACCATTGCCGTAAATATTGTCAAAGGCCACTGCAGCATCGTTGGCATCATGCAGGCTGTTGGCCAGACTCGGATCGCTGCGTCCCACGCGTGGAAACGCATAAAGTCCCGAGGTGCCGCGCCGATTCTTCGCCTGCTCCAAGTCTAAGTACAAAGAGTGGTATTTAAATCAACTGTGATTAATGCAGTTAGTGAGCAAAGGCGCTTGTTCGCGTTTCCGTCAAGTCACTTGTAAGGATGGGGGCATGAATAGCAACTAAGTAGGCGCGAATTTGTGCCTGTTTGTTTGTTTGTTTGTGCGTTGGTGTATGGGAATCGTTTAATATGGAATGTAAAATTCATGCAAATGTTTGAGCGTTCAGCTCAATTAACGCTTTGTCTCAGTCGTCAATTTAAAATAATTTCCCTTGTTAGACGATGCCACAAAGTGGCCTATTTGATGGCAGCATCTGTAAAATCCCCGGGGTGCTCTTAAGCATATTTAGGTGATGAAATTCCGGAGTATTTTTGTCAAGTAAATAAATATCTTGCAGCAGCGAGCATAAATCTAGCATGAAGCAGTTGTGCAAAAGTAATTTGGAATTGGTGAGAGCATCAGGCAGAAGGTAAACAAATTAATGACGTCAGAGTTACGCAAAAGTTTGTGCCATAAAGTAGAAAATGTAGGAAATGGATCTTAAAAATTCTGATTGCTATTCCTATACCTTTTCCGCCTCGGGCAGCTGCATGTGTATATGTAGTAGGTGAAAAATAAATAAATATTCCAAAAAATATAGATATATTTAATTAAAGAAAATTATGATACTCAAATTATTTTAAATACATTATCTATGCTTTTTATATTTTAAATTTTTGTTTTCATCTTCAACTGTGTCTTAAATCATTTGTTGTTTAAATCATTATTACACGTGTATTTTTCAATAATACAATATTCATAAACCTACACTCTTGATGACACCCAAATGCTTCAAGAAAAGGCAGTTATGTATATTAGGGCATTTTGTCCTCCAGATTAGAATTTAGTACTTGATATGGAAAATATAACTCCTTTAGAATGGCTTCAAAAGAGATATTCACTGAGAGTTAGAGGGAACTTATAGACGATTTGGTATATACCCATATACGAGTATATGTATGGTATTATCAATATTTTTGATGTTTGCTTTAAAATCTAATTAATGCTAATTTAAAGGAAACCTTTAGGCTAACCCTTGAATAAAATATTTTAGTCAAGTGTTAGGCAAATTATTCATTTGTGAAATATAGAATGGCTGAAAAATATAGTATAAATTTAAAGAATATCTATAATTTTATATCCATCCCACTAGAAAAATAAATCTGACTAGAACGGCCTGCTCAGGATCACGGATTGATTGACTTTTGATTTAAAAGTATCCCTTTCAATGACTACAGAACTACAAGTATGCTAGAAATGTTTAAAATTAAAAATTTACTCCTGTATTTAAAATGGGCCCCATAATTGAAGCTTCCAATCAGCCTTTCAAAATGTCGATAAAATGTCACGTAAACGAAATATGCAAAAGTAATAACTAACAATTGAAGGATTGTTGATTTTTTTTTTTTTTGCACTGACATTTATATTTCAATACATTTTCTATGTGTTGATAATTTAAAAATAAAATGATGCCGACAATTACGATTAATTTGCTTTCCGTATGCCTAGTAATTTAAGCATTGAAACCAATCAGCATTCAACCATATGTACATCGCTCGTATTTATTTATTATAATGTATTCCCGCATGGAGCAGCAAAATGCTAAAGTACGAGTATGCCATGAATTGATGAGAAATTAGCATAGGAAATGGCGCACCTGTTCGCTTTTCAGCCAGCGAGATTTTGCCTGAATAAACATGTGCCCAAAAAATGTTATGCACACATGCCCCCATAAAGCAAAACAACCCAGACGGAGCGCTGTCAAACCCATCAAATGGGCTTCTGCTGCGGATGATAGTGGGCAGTGCAAGTGTCGTTCTGTTTGCAGTTTAGATATCTGTCACCCAGAGCACCACTAAGCTGGCCTAAGTGTGCAATTTGTATAATTTAATTTGTTCATGGCTTACAGCTTCTCTCTCTCTCTATATATATGTCTCTGCTTGATGGAAACAAATGGCAATTGCAATGTGAGGCAAGTGCTAAGCAACCGGTGGGAAGGACTTGTTGGTTTGTTGCGGACCGCGAGCACTTGAAATTTTAAAATTGTTGAGCAACGCCTGGGGTGCGATTGATTGTCAAGGCTTATGACGTGGAAATGTTGACAGGACGCCGAACATTTCATGAATCTGTTGACTTTCAATTACTTCTTTTTCTGAGCTTGAAGTGGGGTATGAAGTGCAGTTCTAAGTTCTGAAACCCGTACTACTCACCTGCTGCACTGAACTTTGCTAGCAAGACGAAGAGCAAAATAACGTAGGCGCAATTATCCAGACCCATAAAGGACTTCATTATTTCCTTGCAATAATACGCACAAAGTATGTACACTGAATACAGCCTACGGCTCTGGAGAATAATACAAAAATTATTTTCCAACACTAAAAATAGTTCTTTGTCTTGTAGCTATTTTTCAATAGCTGACTGACTATTCACTGGTACCGTACGCCTGTTTCGTTTTTTAAAATTTGTTTGCGCAGATGATTACTTTTGCACGTTCACTGATATTATGCTTGCTACTTGCCACAATTCACGTCCTTTTATATGCAAAGAGACAAAAGACATGGCCACGGGGCAACCACAGCAGAAACAGCAACGGCAACAGCAACATTAGCTTTAAATGAGCAGCAACAACAGAACAGAGGCCAAAATGTTGCCAGCACAATGTTTTCCTACTCAAAACACAAGGGTAAACACAACGGGAAACGGTTGCTGTTGCCTGTTGCCGTGCCTGTGCCAATAGCAGCAGCAGCAGCGGGGGGCCAGCCTCGCAACAGGTGCTGGCGTAGCAACTGTAGCAACATGTTGCCAACGAAAATGTTGCTGCGGAACGAACTTGTGGGCGACGCAAAGAAGCTTTGATTTGAAAAAAAAATCTAACAAAATGTTCATGATTCAACGTCACAACTATATCTTAGCTTAATTAAAAGGTATTTTAAAAATGGAGGGGGTGTTTAAGTATAAGAGTTTGATAATACAAGATTCATTTAACTAAAAACTCGGCATATACTGTAAATACAAATTTAACGCGTTCAAGTTTAAAGGTATTGGAATAGCATTTCATAGTTAAAATAGTCAGTTGTTATTTTGTGATTGTAACCATGTGTGATGTTGATTAGTACTTTTAACTATCCATATATTGAAATTATGTATTTGGCAGTCGAAGCTGAAATTGCTTCGAGGGAAAAATCGTTGTGTGCTTTCGTGTTAAAAATCATGAAGAGTTCGAATATGTAATTGCTTGGGAAGGTTTCTTGCTGTAGGTACTACATACAAGGTCTTATAAGGTCTTTATGAGAAAAACACACAGTAATTCTCTTATCGAATTAAATATAACAGGCATCCATATACTTGTAGTATAGCTTCGATATTTTGAACAATTAGTAATATATAATAAAACATATTATTATTAGAAGACAAATATGACAAAATTATAGAAGAAATGAGTAATCTTTAAGCGAAATTTGACTTTTTTGACAGCAGGTATAGATTTGATTCTAAAGGACATAAAGGAAAAGTTCTCGAAATGAAAATAAACAAAGTTTCTAAGGGGATAAATGAGAATGGGAAAATCAAGTCCGAACGCTTTGCCCAATCTAACAAATTCCCCTATAATGGAGATTGGAATGGAGATTATATAGCGCATACCATAAAACATTAATATGTTTCTTTTCAGATTTAAGTAGAACTCCATACCAAGTTTGGGGACTCCTAAAGGCATTTGCAGATCGGCTCTTCTAACGATGCTGGTTGAATGCATTTTTAAGACGCTCAATAACAACAACAGATTGGTGATTGTTTAAAATATTGTTTATTAAGGCACATACACTTCGTATAATGAGTTGGATTTCTGTGTCAAAATAGTTAACTACAAGTATTTAACTTACAACCAGCCCGAGATCATGCGACCTGTAACAGTCGACTTACCACGCTCACCACCCGCTGCAGCACTGCTCTGACCCACCTTGATGGCTGGTTTTGCGGGCGCCGGTGCTGGCTTTTTATCATCGCCTGGCTTCTTAGCATCATCGGGCTTCTTATCGCCTGGCTTAGCGGCTGCGTCGCCCGGCTTGGCATCATCTGCCTTTTTGTCATCAGGCTTCCCATCCTTCTTAGCCTCATCCGTTTTCTTATCATCGTCTTTCTTATCGTCTGACTTTTTGTCATCGGGCTTGGCTGCTGGCGTTCCACCACTGCCTGTTTCGTTGGCTGCTTTTGTGGTGCCTGGTGCTGTATCTGGTGCTGTGGCGGTGCCGGGCTTAGCAGCCGTATCGGGCTTAGCATCCGTGGGCGCAGACGGTGCAGTGCTCTTGGCAGCTCCAGCAGCAGGAGCAGTCGCTGGCTTAGCTGCTTCGCTTTTCGCTGCCTCCTCTTTTTTGGCCGCCGCTTCTGGTTTTGCGGTTTCACCTGGCTTTGGCGCTGCAGGCTTAACATCTGTGGGCTTGGAAGGTGGCGCTGGTGCATTGGGCTTTGCAGCATCACCCGGTTTTTGCTGCTCGGTTGGCTTAGCGCCGCCTGCCGAAGCAGTTGGTTGTTTTAAGGCTGATTTTGGTTCACCAGGCTTGGGGCCACCATTTCCTCCAGTTGGTGCCGCTGGTGGTGGTTTCTTATCGTCACCAGGCTTCTTATCTTCGCCAGCAGGTTTCTTGTCAGCTGCTGCCTTCTTATCCCCTACTTTGTTCGCGTCTTCGGGTTTCTTTTCGTCTACATTTTTAACGGAAGCACGTAAAGCGGCAGCAGCCAACATAGATGATCCACCACCGAGTGCCGTCTTTTTGGACTTTTAAAAGAGAAGATGTATAATTTCAATTTTATTTGTGTGCATTTTTGTTGTTGTTGCTTACGCCGCTTGCCTCCAGTTTTTGATCCTCGTCGCTCTTGGGCGTATCCTCGTTGTCATCTGCCAGAGACACTTCGTCGGCGGCCATCTTCTTGCGCATGAACTTGACGTAAGCAACTCGCGTGGCACGCGTCACCTCGCCCAAGTTCGGATTGAATTCTAAATTATGAAGGGACCTTAAACATATAAAAGGCAATGCAGTGTGCACAGCAAACTTACCAATCAGCTTGGTTTGGTCCATCTGAAGACCCTCATTGGCCTGCTCAATGATCTTGCGACGCAAACTGCGCTGACTATGACGCTGCATAGAGGAGCGCTTGGAACCAATGGGATCTGCAGTAAAGGTGTTCTTTCTAGCAATGGCATTCCAGTCTTTTTCACTGTACGAAAGCAGAATAGAGGGGAATTTTGAGACTGGAGAAAAGGAGAGAAAATTACAATCCTACCCCTTTTGCGTCTTCTTTCTGCCAATAACCTTGGCCAGCGATGAGAATATATCCTTTCCACTCTCGCTCTCACTCATTTCTTGCTTTAAGTTCTCTACAAAGCCAATCTGGAAGTCCTTGAGTATGCGTCGTTCCATTACTTTGCCCTTCTTGGTGCCAGCCGCGGCGGCTGTATTAAAGGAGTTGGGTTAGAGTTGAACAAATTTGTTGAAAACAACTTGCGTCTTTACCTTGCGTTTTCTTCTCAATATCCGGCACGTCCCAGCTGTTGTTTGTGAAAATCTCCAGCAGTTCGAAACGCAGGGAGCTAATGTCCTGGCGCACCTCAATGATATCATCCTCAGTGATGCCATAATCGTCCCGGCGACGCTGCTCGGCAGTAACATAACGTCGTACCAGCAGCTTCATCACTTTGTCATGCAACGTCTGTGCCTTCTCCATGGACTTGCGCTAGGGTGGGAGAGGGTGGAGAGGGGTAAGGAATAGTACCGCATTAGCCTTTGGTTTGACACTTTACTTGGCGCCAACGCATTGACGCACAACAAAGCCACAGGAGCTTGATTGAGAGTGATGTGCCAAATGATTTGTCTTGATTGCATTTGCTGCTGTGCGAGTTCTTGAGCTTGGGCAAGGGATACCTACCATAAAACTCTTGGTGCGAGAGGCTCGCGTACGTCCAAGCGTTTTGCGCAACATTTTCAGGTTCGGACAAAGATTGAAGGGTGGTGGCACAGTGCCGCCATCGTCGAAGTAGCTCATCCATAGCTGGGCGCGCGCAAACTTCCACTCCGTGTCAGCGCGCTCGGAAATGATTTGATACGAGTTGGACATCATGGCAATCAACATGTTGAGCAGCACAATTATATTGATAACGGAGTACGAGCCAAACATGAGCAAGGCCCAGAAGCGCGTGAAACTCTTGATGCCAGCCAAATCAAAGGACACCAAATCGACGAGACCGAATGAGGCCCAAAACAACGACTGAGATGTCTCGAATAAGCTGAAAGAATTAAAATAATTGCGATGCACATTTACGATGGCAGCAATGCCACTTACTTGGAGAAACGTCGCCATATGGTGCAAGCCTTTTCCTGATCATCAAAGTCAGACACCTCCGGATGCAGATGGTAGCACTTGTTCTTCTCCAGCTCGGCATAGTACCACAGTAGTTGATTCAAGCCGCAGCCAAAGGCGAACAAAACCAGCGTATAGATAAAGAAGAACTTGATAATATCGATAATCATGCGTCCCAGCGACACCTGCAGCGGTCCCAAATGCGGATTAATAGAGAAGATGTGTACCAGCTTTAAGTAGGAGAACACCATGCCAGCGGCAAAGGCTCCTTCAGAGAGCAGCATGGGATCGAACGGATGCCAGTGTTCGCGTGGAAAATACGGATCGATATTCCGGAACCACAGATCCCGCTGAAAATGCACAAGATGCAAAAAGCTAGGTCGACTTTGGGGAACATCTTCTGCTTACATGCACTATAACCCAAGCCGTGGCACGACAAAGTATCCAAGTGACGTAAAACGTATTCGATATATAATCCACAATATTCCAGAGGTCCGTAATGTACTCAAAGAGGCCATGGGAATATAAAGACTTTAGTTCCTCAAATATCAGCGCTGCTATATACATGATAATGGCCAGTTCTATGGGACCCGGTAGCGAGCCACGTTCATGCTTCCGCATATCATCCAACATGCTTGTCATCCATGGAAACGCCAAGAGTTCAAAGGTGATTTGTACCACACGTAATGAGGAGGCGCCAAGAAGCACTGTTGGTCAAGAAACATATGATAAGTCTTGGCACTTCTTATTCCAAAATACATACAAAAAATGGTGTGGACCAGAGTTCATTTGACAAGCAACTGTTTATGAAACCCCAGCGTTTTGTAAAACTGTAAAAGATGATCCGAGAAGAATATTGGGGACAAAACTATAGAGATGAGTTACCAAGAAAAGGTCAAAGATAATTTTGATTTTCTTTTTCTCTTTCAATTCTAGTCATTTTCAAATTTATTGTTGATGCGATTGAGCTAGACAGTTCGTTATAATTTCATTTGTGACTTGCAGATATTGATAACTTTTAATTGAAATGCTATTTTTATACCCTGTACCCGTAGGGTAAAAAGGGTATATTAGGTTTGTGCAAAGTATGTAACATACAGAAGGAAGCATCTCCGACCCCATAAAGTATATATATTCTTGATCAGCATGACGAGAGAAATCGATCTAGACATGTCCGTCCGTCTGTCCGTCTGTCCGTCCGTCTGTCCGTCCGTCTGGATGAACGCGAGGATCTCAGAAACTATAAAAGCTAGAATAACCAAAGTTGGTATCCAGATTCTCCTAAGTCCGAGTAAGGACGAGTTTATTTTATTTTTTGGATTTTCCCCCCCTCCCCCCGCTACAGAATTTCGTCAATAGCGTCTACATTTCAAATGCTACCTAAACCAAAGTTTGCACGCATAATTTATATATAATTGTCTACTGTTGTATAAAATTTTATTCAATTCGGTCATTTCTAAGAAAAGTTATTAGCGAAACAAATTCTCTACAGTACAACCCCCACAAACTGCAGCAACAAGTTCGCTCTTCTTCTTCCTCTTTTTGCTGCTGCTATGGGCGCATATAACTCAGTGACGGAAGTTTACATGGGTATAGGGTATTACACTGTCGGGCTTGCTCGACTGCAGCGTTCTTTCTTGTTTATCCAGAGATTAAAAATAATATCTTAGGCTTGTGTAAATTATGTAAAATGGAGAAGACGCGCTATCGATCTCGACCTTCAATCTGTAAGAATAAACGGCTGGGTTTCGGAAAGTGCTGTATCTACATTGACAAAACTTGGTATATAGACTCTCCTTATTCCCAGGCAGCACAAGCTGAGTTTATTTTGTTTGACTTTTCCCCACCTCCATCCCATAATTCCAAAACTACATTCACCGAAACCAATAAATTAATATAAGTTTTCTACATTTGTGTCAAATTTCATCCGAATTGGTCAATTCTAAGAAATGTTATTAACAAAACAATTAGTAGAGAACTATTATCGGACATGCTCCACTGTAGCTTTATTTTTGTTGTATATAAGGTTAGTTTTGGTTCACTGACTAAGAATACGTCTATATATAAATCTTCTCCTTATTCCCTACGAAAAAGAACGAAATTACAACTTGAGTTTTATTTTTAAGCAAAAAATAAAAAAATAAAAAATAAAAAAAATAAAAATATCTATATATAAAATTGGGGCTTGTGTGCACTTTCTTTTTATAGATATTACGGCATATATGGCAATAAACTGCTGATGACAATTATTTAGTAAAAGTACTTCACTCACTCAGGAAGAACATGTATGAGCAGGAATGGGTGATGAACTTGACGAAAGGCTTGCGCATGAATTTCGCGCCATCCGAGTCAGGCGCCAAAATGTACTTAAAACTGTAGATCGGAAAACTGCAGCCCAGTTTAACGACATCCATTAGCTGTTGCGAGCCCTGTTTGCGTCGAAAACCTGGCAAACCTTCATACCAAATGGCAGCCAACAGTTGTTGGACATTTGGATGGGCGACGAACTGAAAGGGAGAGGATATGAAAAGACAGGCACGTGGACGAGCTGCATATTTGAAGAGCTTAATTATTTGATTGGCTCACACATACGGTCTTTTGCTTGTAACGTATGGCAAGCTTTAGGCGTTCCAATGTCTGACGCTGTCCGGGAAACCAAATGTCATGTGATGGCTCATGATTGAAATTTAGCATCACCTCCAGTTCCATGGATGTGCGTGCATGGTCCAACAATGACGTGACGAATTCCTGCACCGCTTGACGCATTTCCTGTGAGCAAACAACAGGATACCACTACACAGTTAGAAGGCTTTACCGACCGTTTAGTCTATTTATGAACCCATGTACCGTATATTCCGCACGAAACTCAGACTCCATGGCTTGCAAACGCTTCAGTTCCCATGACAATTGAAAGGCCGTAAGGACGGGGTCTCGCGAGCTGAGAGCAATGAGGGAGCTGGCGGAGAGGGCGCGGTAGGCGTTGATGCGCGACTGTGAGTGTCGAAGGGAGTCGGTTGTTTGCGAGGTAACGCACTCATCACAGCCGCACCTGCAGCCAGGACATTGACATTATTAGATGGTCTTCATAATTTCAACATACACGTCCTGTTTCTCTGTTTAGGGGGGGGATGTGTGGAATTGCTTTGTTTGGCCAACATTTAGGAAAGCATTGGCGCAATTAGGATGGGGTTGGATAGGAGGAGAGAGCAGCAATGGAACGTGCTAAATGCTGCATTTGCGAGCTCAAACTCACTTGACATCGTGCGGCATGGGCAGTGTGGCACCGCGATCCAGAAGTATTTTAAGTATCTCGTAATTGTTGCGATGTGCAGCCAGTATTAGTGGCGTTATATCCACAGTGAAGGTGGATTTGGAACGGTCAACAGCCTCCCAGCTCTATGGCAGGCATATCATTAACAAAGTTCTGGAATTATATGGAACGAACGAACTCACATAGGGCTGGCCATCCTTATGATTGGTCTCCTCCCATTGCAGCAGTTCCTCGACAGCCTCCACATACTCCTCGGAGATGGCGTGCAGCAGGGCATCACCAACTTCGATATTGTGCTCCAGCAGCAACACCATCAAGTCAAAGTTCTCATTCTCAATGGCCGAGATAAGTGCCGAGCGATTCATGGGATCCGTGCAGTTGATGTTGAATTTGTCAGGTTGTGAAGTGTATTCCTCGAGTAATCTGGAAAATATATTTTTGTTGTTGCGGAATACCAGTGTGCTTCCAGGATATGCACTGCAAGGACTCACATCTTGACGCCCGGCAGATCACCCCGCTCGCACGCCAATATGAAGTTCTTCTCCACATCACTGAGTATATATTCCTCGGCCATCATCAGATCGTAGTCCAGACGAGAGCCAGCGGCTTTCTCAGCGTCCGTCTCCATGAAGGGGATCCTCTTTTCCACACAACCCACTCAAAACTTATTTGCAACTGGCACTTGCAATCCAAGTAATTGCATTTCTTTCACCTCCTCACTATCACAACACTGCCACTCTGAACGAATCTCTGCGCAGTATCCTTGCACTGGTGGCAAAGTGTTGGCTTAATCCTTTTTAGGTCGCCGTTTCACTTCGCCTTTTCCGATTTCGCCACCGATGTCGAGTGTTCAATTATTCGCGTCCAACTGTTCGCAAAACACGCGCACGCCATGGTATATGCCACTAATTACATTAGCGCTTGTCCAAAAAGTCGGTCAATGAGTATGCTTAACAAGTCAATATGCCCATGCCCACCCCAGAGCTGTGCTAATCACCAACTGACTTTCGGCTTTGCATTCTCTGATTGTCTAGTCACAGACATACTCCTTCTCGTACCATTACAACAACTAGTGGTAGTCGGCTTCAGTTATGGTCTCTTTAGTGTCGCGCCGCACCTGAAAATCGCAATGGAAATGGATGCATGTGCAAGAAATATATATTCGATTCGAGAAGCCCCACGAACAACCACCACCACCGACCACCACCGTTTACAAAAATGTGATGCTAAAGCCATTACGGCCAGACAAACAGCCGATATAAACATAAATACTAAGTACGATGGAAAAGCAAAGCGCCAGAAAAATGTCAGTGTGCCTTTAAATAAATTTGATTACAGCTCAGAATGCATCATCTTTTTGAAAACAAGACTGTTTGTGGTAAATGGAGACACGTAATGGCTGTGGTGGCAATACTTGTGTCAAAAATAAATTCATGGAGTCCAAATATGATAAGACGAAAAAAAACCCGATTTCAGATCAGGTGCAGCGAATGCTCTTTTTGTTGTCATTTGAAGTGACTTAATGCTTCAAGGATGATTTTGAAGTTCAAGCATCCTCTCCATGAATAGATTTTTCAGCTATTTGGACTAAATTAGGTATGTTTAAGGTATGGACCAAGTTAAAAGAGGGCCATACAGAAAGTACCACCTTTCTAATGCAAAAAGAATCACCAAAATCCGTTCACCGAGTCGAAAGTTCAGAGGTAGCAATCAGTCGAATTGAGAACTCTCATCAAAGTACCCTTCAAGTACATCCTTTCAAAAAAAAAAAAATCATTGAAATCGGTTGGCGTGATATTGAATTATTCGTCCATTTGTCGCTCACATACTTAATGCAAATGAAAGACTTTATTTTCTTATGAATACCGTTTGCAGAACTAGACTAAATTAAAATGGGACCATTCGGGAAGCACCAGCTTTCAAATGGATAAAGAATCATCAAAATAATATATTAAGAAAATGTACTAGAGATATTGCTGATGCTTTTGGCATTTATAATGGATTGGTCAATATCTTTCTATGATACGTTTTGTCCCTCGTAAAAATCAAATCTCTTTTCGGTCCAAAAACAATAAACTTCTTGCACAGAAGACTTTGAAAGAATGCTTTCTGATATTCTGACAAGGTGAAATGAATAATAACTGAACATTTGACTTGGATCAATGAAACAACTGATCAGCCCAGCCCAACCCAGAATATGAGTTGAAAATATGATTTTCTCTGCATTCTCGGCGAATATTAATTATTTCCTTCACCACTCGGCGAAAGTGCAAATGTATCTAGTCATATCTACCCATGCTGTTAAAATACCAAAATAGATTTCCTAATGTGAAAATGAAATAGCTGCGTTTTGGAACCAGAATGTGTATCGCAAATGTTACGTTCTGCCTATATTCTGATATGAGAAGAAAACTGTGCAAAGTCTTGCCATGACCACAGCCACGGGCCAGACAGTGGGTTTGTAATTTGTAGGTTTTCTTCTTGAGGCAAAAATCTATAAAATCTATGTCAGACAACACAGCAAGTTTTACATATATTCGCTTTGCTGGCAGGTAAACGAACTGAGGTAAAAACAAAATTTAGTATCGATTGAAAAAACAGAATTAGTTTAGCTTTTAAGAAAAACACACATTCAAAACTAACGTTTTTTAAACAAACTTATGAGCATTCAACAAGTTTAAATAGTTTGGTACTAGAAAGCCGTTGAAGAAAGCTCGTTTCTCCACTTTTTCATATAGCAGTTGATGAAGAAAAGCTTCGCTTGAATTTACAGCTTTTGCTCTTAAGAGTAGGGCCTTTTCTCTTTGCGTGCAGTTGTCGTTCAAAAACTCACCACGGCCGCTCGAAAGTATGCCTCCGTTTTTAAATACCAAAAGCATGCATTTAAGGACTTCTGAATGAAATTAAATAACTTCATTAATGGCGCCAGCAACCGAGTCGGTCATACAACGACGGTGTCCTATTTCCAAGTACGGCTAGCGGACGGACGGCACGCAATTAAGTTTGCTTCGAGTCTAATGTGATTCCTGCATTTTGTTCGAAGTGTTCTCGGCATAGCAGGACTCATATATTTGTATCCAGGCAGCTGATTATTCCGGCACGCTGAATGTTCTAGTTTTCTCTTTTATTTTTTGTGGTATTTGAAGTGTGAATAAATTAGTTTTGTGGGTTTCTGTCTGGAAAATAACATGCAAATAAATTATGCACTGCGCGGCTTAAAGGATAGGTTGTAAATGTCCGAAAGTGAAGTTTTAATAATATCCTTCCATTCTGTTCTTTTTCAGAGAGTTTTTTAGAAGTGCAGTTAATCAGCCACCGCATTCTTGATAATCTGCTAAAGCTGCTAAGCAGCAGTAAAATATAATTCTGTGAAAAGTGTCAGTTAACGAGAATAATGAGGCGTAGTTGAACAACATTTCAAATGAAAACTGAGCTGAGTTATAATGCATTTTCAGGCAGGCATTTTCAAAGTATATACACAACGCTATTAAATGTCAGAATTGGCCACAGCTTCAAAGTTATCCGATGCTGACGCACAAGCCAGACGCATAGGGCCGAAAGGGATGAAAGAGATGGAAAAATATTGCGTACAGATGGTCATGAATAATTATCGGCCATTGAAGCAAATTTCCAAGAAGTCTGCCACAGCAACAGTATGGATGTCATTAAAGTGAATGGTGCTAGCTAAATGTCCAAATGCAAGCTGTGGGCAGAGAATATTCCACTCATTACAGCAAACATAATTAAAACCAGCGGACAAGGTTGTGGGATCTCTTAGAAATTCATATCTGGAAAACAAACGAGTAATGTTACAAATGAGAAGTCGATTCCTAGAATTCAGCAATTACTGTGAAAGCTCATATTTTTATGCGAAAACGAGGGATATATATGTCTGTAAAGGCGCAAAGCAGTACAAATACGATAATTGCTTGGGTTTTATTTTGCAAAAAATACAGAGTTTAAATGTGAGTTAAATTTAGATATATGCGAATTATAAACAGTTTTTCTTGCCAGAAAGTTATAGAAATAGATATTACGTCTAACGAAAGAACGAACTTTAAATTGTAGTTCTAGGATAAATGATTAGAAAACATTATAGATCCATTGCTGAATATATTTTCGACTGACTACTTTAAACCAAGAAATTATCGGGTGCGAAGAAGCTGCTGCTCCTGGGTGTTCCGCCAATCTCGCTGCCCTGCCTTCCCATCTACATATGTTATAATGTTCTGCTTTAAATTAAACTACCTCTACAATCTGTGGCGAATGAATAGCGCTCGACAATTGTTAGATATGATGGAATTTTATTACTGAAGTTAATTCAAATTTCGAATTCTAGCCTCTTTATTTATTAAATCTTTCAATATAGCTGTCCGTATTAGGCAGAAAATCTATGCAACGGCGGGCAAATGAAATTCCTTTAATATTTTTAAACTTCATAAGTTAGTCATCATTTTATAATGCATTCCTTAACCCATTTTGACAGCCTATATTTGTCGATTTTAAAAACTTAAATCAACTTTAAAGTTCGGCTTAAAGTATCCTGCACGGTTCATGTATGTGCTTGTATTTGCTTTCGATTGCACAGCAAGTATACAAATAAACAATACGAAAATCTATTTGTAGGCAGATAAGACAGTGCGTATGTGCAATATAAAATTTCCAAACGAATTCGCACGTACGCACCCCGACCAACAATGCTTCAGTTTTGATTAAATTCGGACGAGATACGATTGCTATGGCTGTGGAGTGGCCATGGCAATCAATCAGCTGCATTATGCTTGCCAATAATTCACGCTCGATTGGATATGGCTGTGAGTGTGTGCGTGGCAGTATTTATCGTGCATATTCATGTCCAATTCACGCCAGCCAGTGACAACAGCAGAAACTCGAATTCCTTGCTGCGACTGACAGTGGCAAACTGTAAACAGAAAACAGGCACACACATAAACAATAATACACATACACACGCACGCACACACACACACACACCCACAGGACCCTTGACTGCATTCTCTGTTGCCTACTTTTGTGCGTGTTGCCTGCCCTGCGCCCTGCGCTTTCTGCTCTGTGCGTGTTTGTGTGTCAATGCACTTGGAAATTATTTCATAGCCTGCCAAAGGAATATAAATACGAGAAACAAGTGAGCGTCGAGCACCCTTTCGAGTGTGCACAACCGTGCATGGCCGATTCACGGGCATAGCCCAACACGCTGCGCAACTGCGCGCTTCACAGTTCTAGAATGGGGCAGGGTTGAGCGAAGCTGGGGTGTGGCTGCTGCAACGTACGTGTTTAAGTTGCAGCAGAGAGTGCAATGCACTCTACAATTTACTGCACTGACATCTATGAGAGCACGCGAAGTCATTTGAAAAATTAAAGTTTCCTAGCAGCAACAACAGAGGGAGCGACCATGTGGAGGACGCCATTTAAAGCTACAATTAAAATGAAATTAATTAGCGAGCAGAAACGTAATAACATGTAAATAGTGTGTACAATTGCGTAATAAAACTGAGCGCAATAACCGGGCAGATGTCAACCATATTTGTTTTATGTTTCCCAGGAGTGTGTGGCATGTGGTGGCTATGCGTGCACGTAAATAATGACATATATATATATATATATACTATATAGTAGTATATAGAACGTACAATTAATTAGTTCTACGTAGTGGCGAAAAGACCAATTGGCAATTCAGATTTTAATTGGCTGCACTAATTGCAATAATTTATGAATTTAATTCGATTGCCTTATTTTCTTCACCTGTTTTCTTCAAGTGCGAATTTGATATTTTGATGGACAACAATTTATTCTAATACTGTTTGCGTTCTAAAGCAAAAAGAAAATTACAAAATCCT